TCAGGTCGCCGTCCGCCCGGAGGAAAAGCCGGAGCCCGAGCAGGAGCAGCGCGCACAGCGCCAGCAGCAGGAGCAACATGTCCGAGTCGGTAGCACTTCCCAAGGTCACCAGCGAAACTGGCCAGCCTGGAGGAAACGCCCAGCGCCCCAACGCGGAAGCCGCGCCAGTCCCACCCCTTCCCCGACCCCGCCCCTTCCTCCCGGCCCAAAGTCCCTGGGCGGCGTGTTTTGGTTGAGTCAAGCACAAAGCAACAAGTTTGGGAGCAGGAGAAACAGCTGGGTGTTCACAGAAGAGTCGCTGGAGAAAAGGCAGGGAAGAGGCAGTTACTGGGAGGTCGTTGTGAGGCCAAGTACTTTTCCAGGCTCTCTTTGTGGCTTGGGGAGAAACAAGCCTTCTAATTCTGAGCTCTGCCCATACCTTTCTCTTCCTCCTGCAAAGCTCACCTCCCCACCTGCAGAGGATCTAACTCAGGGCCTCGCACTTGGAGGCAAAGGCTCTGTCACTGAAGGGGCTACACCTCGGCCCCTGCTTCTTTATTTACTGTTAAATGTTATTTATTTTCACTTGATTGATTTTTGACTGCGTGAACCACACGAAACATTGATGCTACCACCACCAAATTAACCCATTATCCAAAAACCCATTTGGCCCCTGTCAAACTGGAGTTTGGAAATCACGAGACAAACGACACCTGACAGTTGAACTGAAAAGCGCAGCTGCAGAGGCTGTTTGAGGTCTATGGCCAGGAGTAGGAGCCTTGGAGCTGCCCCCAGATGTGGAGTCCAGCGCGGGCCCTGCATCCTGGCTAAAGAATCATATTATCCATACTCACAAATAATAATGTAGAGAGGTTGAAATGAGAAAATGCTTATGAAGGGCAGTGTATGTTCCACATAACTATATTCATTCTTTCTTTGGTAATAATTGGTATTAATGAGTTATTTCTACAAATTGTTTATTCTTTCCATTGTAATAATCATTTCTTGGACTTCAACCTGAAAGGGAGGTACTCTTCATTAACTTCTATCTTGTGCACAGGGACCCAAGATTTAGCTCAGTGGCAGCACCCCTGTGGTCCTGAGTTTAATCAGCACTACTAGAAACACAAAACAAAACCGCACAGATATATTGTGCACAGGGTTCCCCTTGACTGTGACATCAGTAAAAATGTTTAAACTGATGAATGAGAAAGACATTGGTGTGATCTGGCTCGGGGTGACACCAGGTATATTTGAATTAGTTAAACATTGATTTCTGATTGCTTAGTTATATTACACATGGAATAATATCACTCAAGAGTTGTGCAATCTTTTGGGTTTAAGGGCAGTATTCTGATATTCTGCAAGCTGACATGATCTTATCTAAAATCTTAATATAAAACTAACTTTGAGTCTTGAATGTCTTGGAAAGGTCCAGGTGTTAAAGAAAAGCTTAATCCTACCTGTGATCCTAAGTCATCCTAAGCCAACTTGACCAGATTAAGAAGTACCTTGCAGTCTAGTAAAACACAGTTCTGGCTGTGTCTGTGGAGGTGGTTGACATGTAGACAAGCTAACCGAGCTAGAAGACACACCCTGATGTGTGTAGCACCGACCAACAGACTTGTAGTCTGGATGGAATTTTATAAAAAGGGGAAGAAGGAAGTTTCTGTGTTTTGGAAGAGGTCCAGGCTTAATGCGAGTGTCTTTTCAGTCTGCAGGTTCTTCAGCGTGCCAAAGCCATTTCATAGCAGCTATTCTCCAGTGCACTTCCAGGCCTTGGCCTTGGACTGCTGTTTTTTTTTTTTGTCTGTTGCATTCTTATTCTTTGTTTTGTTGACTCTTATCTTCTTGGCCTGAGCAGCTACTAAATCTTCTGTCTGTAGCACGTAGCCATTGTGCAGTCTTGGTTCCTGTAATGTACCTAATAAATCCCCTAGGATAATTATATATATACTCTAACAATTTGGTTCCTGTAGAGAACCCTAACAGAGACATGAGAAAGATGGTGGGAAAGTTTTGGTCAATGATAAATCTCTAGAGTCTCAGACTGTTCTCGCATTTCTTTGATCCATCCTGCATGCTTCTTGTTGATATCTAAGATAAAATTATTTCCTTTTTTGCATTCAAATAAGTTGAATTACATCACCTTCAACAGAGACTTGCATGATATATTTGTGAGTTTTTTTTTTTTTTACTTTGACTTCGTTTAGAGATTGAAATTATTGGGCCAGGGATTTAGCTCAGTGGTTTGGTGGCCTGCCTTGCAAGCACAAGGACCCGAGTTCAATCCCCGGTACCAAAAAAAAAAAAAAAAAAAAAAAAAAGAAAAGAGATTGAAATTATGACTTTCATTTTATTATTTTGCTTATTATTGCAATTATTTTCTCAATTTCCTCCATCAGACTTTTTTCTTTTCTACATATGTAGCAGCATTAAATCATGGGCAGAAGAAATAGTATTTCTTTGATCCTGAATTGTCCTCCAGTTATTGTTCCATTTTCCCTCTTCCCTTTAAAGCAAAATAGAAAGTTATCAATATTAACTCCACTTCACCACCTTCTTTCTTCAAGTCATACCAGTTAGGCTTTTAACCTATTCATCTATTGAAGCCTCTCTATTATGCCCTTGACATATGCGGTCCTCCTTTTTCCCTGTGCTTAAGCTCATGGACAAGTTATATCCTTATTGTTCTCTTACTTCACCAGTGGTGACTACTGAGTCTTCATTGCTGGCTTTTCCTCTTACTCTTCCTAAATTTTGAATATTGGAATACCTAGGAATGTCATTAAGCCTCTTCTCTTGTCCTCAATGTATCTCAGTGTTTTCATTCTGTATCCTAATTGCACTCTGATGTGCCCCATACCGTATTCTTGGCATTGATCTCTACCATGAATTTCAAATAAACATCCTCCAAAGTTGTCTAGTACTCATCTAATTTTTAAAATGTCCAAAATAAAGCCCATGTTTTCTTTGTTAAATTTTCTTGCTCTCAGCATTCCCCCATCTCAGTAAATGATATCCCAATTATGCAATCCTCAGAATCATCCTTAATATGCCCACAATAGGAAAATGCAGTAAGCTCAAAGAAACAACCTAACGATGAATCTTAGGTTCCTAGAAAAAGAAGAGAAAGATAAACCAAAAGCTTGTACAAGGGAGGAAATTATAAAGGTCAGAGCAGAAATGAATGCAGTTGAAACTAAGGGAAAGACACACAAAAAAAAATGAATCAGAGTTGATTTTGCAAAAGAGTAAATAAAACTGTTAAACACTTAGCCAACCTGGTCAAAAAAGGAAAGAAAAGGCTCAGATCCAATCAATTAGGAATGAAAAAGGTGAAGTCACAACAGAGCCAGCTGAAATCCAGGGGATAATCACTACCTACTTTGAGAACCTGTGCTCCAATAAAATGGAAAACAAAGAAGAAATGGACAAATCTCTTGATACTAATGAATTTCCAAAGTTGAAAAAAGAAGACAAAAAAGTTCTAAACAACCCCAATTAAAATCAGTGAAATTGAAAATGTAATTAAAAGTTTACCAACAAAGAAAAGCCCAGGTCATGATGGGTTCACTGCTGAATTCTATGCCATTTAGAGAACTACTACCACTACTCTTCAACTTTTCAATGAAATTGAGAGGGAAGGAATACTTCCAAATTTATTCCTGGAAGGAAGTGTTACTTTGATTCCCAAACCAGGAAAGACCCAACCAAAACGGAGAACTACAGGCCAATCTCCCTAATGTATAGATACAAAAATCCCCTATAAGACACTGGCAAATAGAATCCAGATGGTCATCAAGATCATACAAACTGACCGAGTCGGATTTATTCCAGGAATGCAAAGATGATTCAACATACATAAATCAAAAAATGTAAGACACTACATTAACAGAGTCAAGGACAAAAACCATATGATCATCTCAGTAGATGCAGAAAAGGCATTTGATGAAATTAAACACCCATTTATGATAAAAATCCTGCAAAAAATTGGAATAGATGCTCTTTATCTAAATTAGATAAAGGATATCTATGAAAAACCAACAGTCAACATCATATTAAATGGCCAAAAAGAGAAAACTTTCTTATTAAAATCAGGAATGAGAAGGATGACCACTATCACCAATCTTTTTCAATATAGTTCTGAAAACATTGGCCACAGCAATTAGACAAGAGAAAGAAATTAAAGCAATAAACATAGGAAAGGAAGACGTTAAACAGTCATTATTTGCTGACAATATGATATTCTACATAGAAGACCCAAGAAACTCTGCCAAAGGCTTCTAAATTGACACTTTCAGCAGAGTAGCTGGATAGAAGTTCAGTACTCAAAAATCAATAGTCTTCTTGTAGACAAATAACAGACTCAGTGAGAGAGAAACTAGGGAAACAATTCCTTTCACAATAGCATCAAAGAAATGAAGTATATAGGAATCAATCTAATGAAAGAAGTAAAAGACCTCTACACTGAAAGCTACAGCACTCTGAAAAAAAGAGATCAAAGAGGATATAAGAAAATTAAAACATATCCCCTACGCCTTGATAGGAACAATCAATATAATGAAAATGGCGAAACTTTCAAAACTGCTATATAGATCCAATGCAATCCAATTGAAATTCCAACAGCATACTTCACAGAATTAGAGAAAATAATCCAAAAATTCATTTGGAACCACAAGAGAACTTGAATAGCAAAAGTAATTCTAGGCAACAGAGACATGATGGGGGTATTGTTATAGAAGGAATCAGCAAATGACACAGAGAGGCAGCAGAATGGAAGTAAAATAAAAACGTTTACTCCACCAATGGAGATCAATGACACCTAAACTGGTGTCCTGATTGACTCATCCATAGGGTTACAACTCCTTCTTTTATAGGGTTTTACAGCCTTGATCTTATTCATTTGGTTACACTGCATTTTTCACAGCTCACATTGCTGATAACCAAAACATAATATAGCAAGGCAGGTGAATTTCAAACCAGATGCAGATCTTTGCCAGGGAAGTTACCTTTAAGATTTACTCAATTTCCTATCCTAGCCAGGGGGAAGAGAGCGTGTTTGGTTAACAAAGCTAACAATGGTTCTTTTCACTTATGAAACTTTTGTGGGAGACTAGGTGCCTCCTCTGCCAATTAATTCTGAACTAAGCAGAGTGAAGAGCAGAAGTTATCTTACATTGTGACATTTCCTAAGTTTTTG